AAAACATCCCTTTTCAAAAAACTTGTACTTTTTTCAGTGCTCGGTATATTCTTGGCCCTTATTTTGTGGATTTTTTTTTGTTTCGAAACTCAGGATTGAGAAGTTTTGAAAAGAAAATGTTAGGTACCCACAGCGAGGAAATGACCTGCGGTGAATAAATCCTTTCAAGGGGTAACATATTTTCTATTATTTTTTGACATTTTCGTTATTTGAGGCCTGCTCTATCACGATCAGTGCTTTGAACCAGCTCCCGAAGTGAAGGAAGCATTACGCCGTCTGAATCTCAAAGAGCCATGGCTTTTCGATGAGCGAAAAATACGCCTCTATCATGCACATACATTGAAAAGTCATGGTGAACATTTACCGAAGGAGAAGTGGACGAAATGGGAAGATGTAAGTGATTTTGTATTGTTTCACGAACACAGTTTTGAAAGTCAGGCTGGAACCCACCAGACGAGCCGGTGCGGTCATGTGTTTTTACAGGATTTCGTGCTGTAGCAAGATCGCCAGGAATCACAGTAGCTAGCACTGTTGGCATACTAGTCCTCGAAGTTCGGGAAGTCAATTGTGCAACTATGTGGCATGTCAGTTGTAAATGCTTCTGGCTTCACGGACCCGAAAAATGAATAGTTGCTGGTACGTGAAAAAAGCCCCACTAGAAGAGTAAATTTGGAATCTTTTAGTCGCACATGAGTAGGAAATATTCCCTTAAAATTCCAGTCTTCCAGCTTTTGTCGTTGCTGAGTTAGCAGTTTTCCTGCCAGAATTTTCACGTGTCTATACGTGAGTCTCAGGCGGTTCTATGAGGCTGAATTTGAAATCTTGTAGTCATATGTAAGTAGGAAGCATTCCCCTAAATTTTCAGCTTTCTAGCTTTTCTCTTCACGAGTTAACAGATTTCCTGCCAAAACTTTCACGTGCCTGTGCGTAGGACAGAGATGTGCGTGACAGTTGATTTCACGTTCCTAGAGTTGTACTTGGCCAGGAAACGCATTGGCGGAACTTCAGCAACAAAAGCTTGAGTGGTTGACAAGTAGAAATATCCGGAGAGACGAACAAGCACACACATAAACACACACACAGAGGGTCGTTTCCATATGCGAAATTTTTGCTGCCTGTAGCAGCACTTTAGTGCTGCACGACAAAGACGCATAAAAAAGCTGATATTCGTGTGATATTTTTTGGACTACCAGTTCTGTTATTTGATGATTAATTGTAAAAAAAAAAAAAAAAAAAAAAAAATTTAGGAGACTTGGTACCTGAAGCCTTATCTGGACGAGATTGAAGAGGAAAAGAAAACAAGAGCAGACACTTCTGGACTGATTCCTGGATATCAGTTAAAACAGCATCATTGATGCGCAGAATTTCATAGATTTTTATTTTTTTAGGCATAGCCCGTGAACTTTCGGTTTTGAATGCTATACACCGGTCATGTTGTTTCATTTGCGAATGGTATTGGTGCTGAATTTTTGATGAAAATTCATAAACTTGTAGATATTTGTGTAAAACAAGGTGAAAGTAGAGGAGTTTGGTATTGGGATATTTTTTTTTTTTGCCATTTTTTTGACTCCAGGGCACATCAGGCATAGCTTATGTATTGATAAGAAAACGGCAAGTTTATGATAAATCGATTATAGACGACTTAATTTGAGATGGATGTTTGGCTTCTGAACTATCAGCTTTTTCACCCATACTACGGCCAAAAACCCCGAGTGATGGTATAGTATGTTTGGAATTCGACTAGATGTAGTAGGCTGCTGCTTTTTTTTTTTTTTTTATGAGCAAGATTTGCACGACCTCGAGATGGATGAACCCACGACGATGGGACTTTGTAATTCTAATTTTCAGCTTTTTGCAAAGTTTTTAACCGAAAATCTGTCCATTTCATTACTGCCTCTGTTGTTTAAGATGTGAATTAAGGCCAAGTTTTGCTACAAATGTTTTTTGTAAGCTAGAATTTGTAAAATAAACTTCAAAGTTCTACTGCAGTACATGTGATGATCTCTGAATCATCGTCAGGTTTATAACTGTTTGAAGGCTGGCCTTGATCCTGTTATAATGGAGGCACTCAAATCGCTGAAATTGGTTTTTGTGGCCAGCAGCGTGAAATTCAGGTTTCTATCTGAACAGGTGCAGCGCTTAGCTGATCGGAACGATGTGGGAGACGACGAAGTTCCGTCCACAGTTTTGCAGGCACCAGTTTCATTATGCGTTTCTGCATAATGTGCAAAAACACATATTGTGACGACCCCGGTGTGCGTGCGCGTGTGTGTGCGTGTGTATGTGTGTGCGCGCGTGTGCGCCTGTCCGGGTATTTCAACTCGGCGCCCAAGCAAGCTCCGGCGCCAAATTTTTGGGACTGGGTTCCCCGGCCAAGTGCCACCCCAGGGCTGCGGTACCAGCCCTTGAGCACGTCTCGGCCC